CGGAGCGGCGGCCCGCAGACCTTGCCTGGGTGGTGCTGCGTCTTCGGGCCCTCTCCCCCATCCCGCCCACCCCGTGGCGGCCAGCACACAGCCCCACCCTCCGCTCCGACCGAAGACGCGGTTCCCGAGGAGCTGGGCGAGCCAGGCAAGGGGACCAACGGACCAAAGGGCTCCGCCAGGGCTCCGAGTGTGGGCTCCACGGCACGAACTCAAGATGCTGTCTCCCCCGCTCCCTAGCCTCCAATAAGTTAAAAATCTTCGGTGGTGAACTAGTGTCATCCAGATAGCATTGCGGTGAGCATTAAATGAGCTAAAACATCTAGAATAGCGCTTCTAAAAAAGCATGTCCTATTTTAGTATCATTACTGAAGGTTGCTATTAGAACACGAGAGATTTACAATGGAGGCTTACAAAACAAAAACCAGTGAAATGTATTAAGTACTGAGCGTTCACCCCTGTCCTGTGCTAAGCACTCAGAACTCAACGACGTAAAAACATGGGGAAATGGGGGAGAAGAGACAAAACTGCCATACAAATTCTAAGTAATTTACTAGGGATAGATACTCAAGCATGACGGCCCACTTCCTGAGTGTGGGCTGCGTACGGTGACTTCGGAGGAGGGGCTGGAACTTTACAGAGAAGAGACCTGGCCAACACACAGCCGAATGATCAAGGCCGCCATCAGTGGTGATAAGGCGTGCTCATTTTACTGAGCCTAACCCGAGCCTACTCATGAAGAAAAAAAAAAAAAAAATCGGGCATCACAATTAACACGCAGTCAAAAAAACATGTGACCAGCACTCAAGACTGTCACAAGGTCACCAAATACAACGAAAGTCTGAGCAACTGTCACGATGGGGAGCCTAAGGAGCCGTGACAACTAAATGTAATGGGGTAATCCTAGAACAAAAAAGGACATTAGGTGAAAACTAATGAATACAGTATGGATCTGGTTTTAAAAAATAAAAGTTATGTTTTGTCAAGATCAAGTGTATTTCATTCTTGGGCTTTTTTTTAATTAAGTTTCTATTTCTAAGACTGCTCTATCAGAGAATGTCTTTTTTTGTAACTATGAAACTCAAGACATCAGTATCAGCATAACTTGCACATTAGCCACGTATGTTCCTTTAGAGCTGGAACCTGGAATTACTTGCAAGGGGCAAAACATTTCTAAATTTTGGTTATTTGACCAAGCTCTTCAGCAGCTGTTTCAATTTGAATTAAATCTCGGTAAAATGTATGTTTTTACAAGGAATGTAAAAGCCACACCATCTTTATACTAAAAGAATAAAGATTTTTATTAAGCATTGTAAGTTGCATTCAATAGCCTTCAGATACACCACACCACAACCCATCTACAATCAGTCAAACCCAACAGCAGTTCATTCTTGCACAATCCATGAGTTAGGGCAAAACTCCCTTCAACTTACAGTAAGATCCTACTCAGGTCTTGCGGGCAGGGATTGGGGAATTACATCTCATTTCTGATCACTAATGTGTGATGAAGAGCATCAGGAGAATTATATGAAAACGAATAAGAAGTGATTCTGATTTCAAAGTACATTGTTTGGAAACATTAACAAAAACATCAAAATGATATAAGTATACCTGCTTCTACTAAATTCTTGATGGGAAAGTTCTCAAGAACAAGCAATTTGTTTCCTGCTACAGAAGGGGGGGTTGTTTTTTTTTGTTTTTTTTAAAGATCAAAGGGATTTTTTTTTGTTTTTCACAGAATTTCATATTTTGCTAATATGAAGGCATAAAACAGCAACAAAGAACAATAATGCATACAGCAGTGAATACACCAGGGTAATGTTGATATTCGAAACAGCTAGATAATTTGGGGGGGTTTTAGAATAAATGCAACAGAGGTCAATAATCACAAAATTTTAAGGTTAGAGCAAGATCAGTCAATGACTAAACAGAGTTAACATCTTTTATAGGACTATTACTGATTATTAGCATTTTTGTTTTGCAAATGGGCACATACTGGTAAGAATGGAAGAAAGGACAATAACATGCATAATATTAACTACACACTTTAAAAATTATGAACCATGCAGAAGTTTAGCTCAAGTAGTAGCACTAATGGTCTACGTCCGATTCAAAACCACATAGTTCATTGATCACAGATGCATGGTATTAAGTCACGAAAAGTTTCAGAACACATTGTGTTGATTTTGAAAGGTCATTTGCATCTTCTATGATTTCAACTTTATCTCCATTTAACTTGCTTGTAAAGTATGTATGATGTACTGTATATTTAAAATCAGCAGAACGGCAATATTACTCTATAATTTTTTTTAGTTTTGATAGTTGCACTTTTTTTTTAAACACAAAAAAAGAACCACATCAACAGTGATGAAGTTTAAGTAAGAAAGAAAAACTGTGGTTGTGCCTTATTTCTTTCATAATCATAAAATCAAAGCCTTAGACAAAGCTTTCTTGTGAACAGTAATGCAAAATCAAAGATAATGGCATACATATGGTGCCAAATGCTAAAAATGATATTTTAAGCTATATATACTTAAAGACTGCCAAAATTTGTTTTCTTTATAGTTCAAGAAACACAACTGTAGGCTTTTGTCATAACCAGTTTAAACTTTGTGTGTACTTCATTTTAAGTGTGGGAGTCAAATGCTCTTCATTTTCTTTCTTTCTTTGTTTTATTGTAGCATTTTGACTACAACTGGTTAAAACTAAAAATGTGTTGTTTAAATCTCTGATATCAAAGAGGGATCCGAATTTCCAAAGTCCTCATTTTTCACTTACGGAAAGGAAAAAATGTACATAACTGTAGGCTCTCTTTCTCTCCAGATATTCCTAAATCCTTACCCTTCCAGCATCCTTCACCCTCTATAAAAAATAAGTTTACTCTTCTTTCTTTAAGACAGCCGCCTCCAGAGCATCGGCCCTGCGGCAAGCACTGTCTGTACTTAGTGCATTTAAGTGAGGATTTGTATTGCACGTCTTAGAGTCATTGTTCAAGGCACTTTCCGAGTGGCTGGGGGCCCTGGCGTCGCCCGCGCTCCCGTTCATCTGGGGAGCCGGCTTCTCCTCAGCCACCGCTCCGTTTTCAGCCAGGGACCCGTCTGAAGACACGGCGGAGGACTTCGATTCCCCGGATCTTGACTTCAGTTCTTTGGCCACTTCTTCTGCCGAAGCAGCATAAGGAGGCTTGCCCTGTAAGAAAGGAAGGACAGGCAAGCGATAAGGCAGCTTTTGATTAACAGCGGGAGAGAGGGGACACCAGCTGGGGCCTGATGACACTCGCTGCAGATTCAAGAACAGAACACAGCGGGGGCGGGGCCGCGCCCCTGCCGCACGGACCCTCTGCTCTGCGCGTTCTCTTACATACCTACACGCGCTCTATACATTTGACCCTTGAACAACACGGATTTGAGCTGCACAAGTCCACTATTCTGGGGGCTTTTTTCAATAAATACGTACTATAGAATTACAGGATCCTCAGTTGGTTGAATCTGCGGATGCGGAACTGCAGACTCGCAGAAGGGCTGACTGCAAGCTGTACGTGGATTTCTGACTGCGCAGAGGGCCGGCGCTGTCCGCGGGAGAGCTGTACCCTCTACCCCCGCAGTCTGTGCATGTTCTATTATCTACAGTCTCTCTGCATCCTGTTCTATCCCCTGTCCACCCTACAGTCACACCCAGAGTGGGGCTGGAGGTACCCATCACCCTCGCTTTAGATGCACCCTCTTGTACCCCAGGGGTTCGTGTTCCTCATCCAGGCTCAGTGTCCCACAGTATCTTCTCATTTTGGTTTTTACTCCTACAGTTCAGAAACACTCATCTTTTCGAGAAGTCAATACTACTATCATCCTCTTGGAACCTTGAACAAAATAATTAATACAAAAATATAGCAGGGCCAAGAAGGGGAGAAAAAGCAATCATGAAGATTTCAAGCACATGCTTCCCAACCTTAAAGCCCTCACTCCCTCAGGGGAAAGGCCACTTACTAAACACACACCTGCAGCAGTGCTGCCAGTGGTGACGCAGTGGTTCCCCCGCGGGCGCCTGCTGCAGGCAACGTGTGCGGCAGCCTGTTTATCCTGGAACCGCGGGATAGTTACTCCCTAGGTAGCAATATGAGGGGTGTGCGTGAAGGATGCAGGAAGACTACGAAGGAAAGCCAGCCTGTACCTGTTTGGAGACAGACATTCCCTCTCTCTACAGCCACCTCTTCCCACAAGCCTGGGCCGCCGGGAGGAGCCCCCATCACCAGAGGCACCACCAGCACAGGGCAGCACGGCCTCCTCCACCCCGCTGACACATCCCCTCAGAACTGGTCCCACCAGGATGGCAACAACAGAGGCCAGAAGGTCAGAAATGCTCAGGAAACAAGCAGCCCTTTGACACCTGTCTTTCTCAACGTGCCAGGACACTCATTCACTTAAAAACAAGTACCAGAAAGTACTAAGGTGAAACTACACATTAAGCCATTATAAGAAAATAAAGGATGGAACAATGTCCCTAAGGACAATGAAATATGTCAGAAAGGCATGTCCACAGAAGACCAAGACTGCTTGCTCTGATCTCAAAACAGGCTGTGACAGGACAGGATGAGGAAGAGCAGCACAGACTACACCAGGGAATGCTAGAAAGTGAGGTGGAAAACTTAGGGAAGAATTTAAAAGAAACAGAAAAAAATAATTCCCAAAATGAACACTAAACTAGAAGAAATACAACACCAAATAAACATCATAAAACTTGAAGAAGGTAAAAGAAAAAACATTTTTTAAATCAGAGACAAAAAAAAAGGGAAATGCAAATCAAAACCACAATGAGATACCACTTCACACCCCCTAGGAGGGATAAACTCAATATAACACGCGTAGACAAGGATGCGGAGAATTGGAACCCTAACATTGCTGGTCAAAATGGAAAATGGTGCAGCCACCACGGAAAAGTTTGGTGGTTCAAATGCTTAAACACAGAATTACCATTTGAGCCAGAAATTCACTCCTTCCTATATACCCAGGAGAACTGAAAATGTGTCACAAAACTTGTCCACAATGACTATAGTTAACAGTACTCTATTGTGTATTTGAGAGTTGCTAAGAGAGTGTATCTTAAAAGTTCTTGGGGGGAGGGTATAGCTCAAACAGTAGAGCACACGCTTAGCATGCACAAGGTCCTGGGTTCAATCCCCAGTACCTCTTCCAAAAATAAATACATAAATAAGTAAATGTAATTACCTCCCCCTCAAAAATTTAAAAAAAAACTTAGAAAAAAAGGTTCTCATCACAAGAAAAAAACGTAGTTATGTGTGGTGATGGATGTGAATTAGACTTACTGTGGTGATCATTTCACAATAAATGCAAATATTGAATCATTATGCTATACACATAAAACTAACGTAATGTTATATGTCAATTGTATCTCGATAAAGCTGGGGGGAAAACCAGACTTGGACATGTATGTTCACAGCAGCAGTATTCATGATAGCCAAAAAATGGAAACAATCTAAATGTCCATCAGCTGATGAACAAATAAAGAAAATGTGGTGTATCCATCCAGCGGAGCATCACTCAGCAATAAGAAAGAATGACAACCTAGTATATGTCACAACACGTGCATTTACGTGAAATGTACAGAGGACACGTCCAGACAGAAAGCGGATCCGTCAGGGACTCGGGGGGTGGGGTGTGTGGCTGCTCATGAGAGTAAGGAGTTTCTCTGGGGGTAATGAATGTTCTAGAAGTAGTGGTGACTGCTGTATGGCCTTGAGAACAGACTTGACTGCACACTTTAAACATGCGAACTGCACAGTACATGAGTTACAGCTCAAAGAAGAAGGGAAGAGACAAGAAGGAATGGAGAGCATACAAACACGGAGGGAAGGAACCAGAAGGGCTAGCACAACAGCCACACCAGAGACGAAAACAGAGCAAAGAAAAGGCTGAAATGAAAAGCCAGTGACTCAAGAAAATTTCCAATGTAAAACGAGACTTGAAATCGCATTTGGAAAGAAGGCATCATATACCAAGTATGTTGACCAGGAATGACCAGCAGCTCGGCGCATCACCGAACTTTGATGGAAACACACACACAGTTTGGGCATTTAGGCCCAAACAGCAAATGACTTCAAAGGGAAAGACAATTCAATTATTATCATTCTTTGACGGCAAAGCTTTATGACAGAAGAAATCGCATAACACGTGTACGTTACTCGAGAAGGAGATGTGAACCGACATTTGCAATTACTAGGAAAATAAACTGTTTTCAAATTGAATGCTGTTTCCTTTCCCTAAGTCCTCCCCGAGGAACCCATTAAAGAAGGAGCCTCAGAGGGACGAAGTGGACCAGCAGACTCCAGGCTGGTGGGCCACGGGGCAGTCATCCACAGGCCCGGGACAAACACGGCTGAGCGTGTACCTCGGACAATGCCAACAATAAAAGCAGAGCTTTTTTTTTTTAACGTGACAATGGTGGGGGAAAGATGGGGGACATACGCCAACATTTTCTGTTACCTGTTCCCCGTGATTGTGCTGATGGCAGTAGTATTAGCTATTCCTAGCGGACTGTGTACGCAATGTGAGAGGATGTAAATGATGAGTTAGGGGACGTTCCGATTGGACCATCATCTGGGTTCCTGGGAACCAAGGTTCGAAGGATGGAAGAAAGGACATACTGATGTAAACATAAAAGTCAAGTTCAAGTCCTGAAGTCCTAAATTTCAATTGGAGGAGTCTATATGAACTCCTACGGTATTTAATTAGGGGAGGAAAAAGGCGGCAGACTGCATGCGTGTGTCTGTATGTGCCAAGCACACGTGAGTGAGCACGTGCACACTTTGCCCCTCTAGCTCTGTTCACAGGAAAAAGAAGTGGTGATTTGGCATGCAAGAAAGGACGTACACATGTAACAGAGGAGAGGCTAAAGGGAAGCCTTAGAGTCCTCAGTTTGAATTGGAAACATCAGTGTGAATTCATGAGAATTGTTTCTTTAAAAAATGCAATAAAAAGCATATAGGTTGTGTGTATAACGAAAAAGGACTCTGTGTGTCTATGTACACAGAACACTAGGAATAGTGACTGACCCCGTGGAAGCCAGAGTCTATAAGTGCCCCTTCTCTGGTCCTGAAACGCCGTTTCCCACTAAAGAAACCAAGAAACTAGAAAAAACGGCTGTCACAGGTCTGCTGGACTGGGCAATGCACCGGACAGGAAGCTACTGAAGATCAGAGGTCACAGTACAGGGCCCAGTGGCCAAGGACGGGCAAGGGGAGCTACAAAGCCATGTGCTGACCTCGCTTTCCTGTAAGGGTTGTGATATTTGGGCACCAAAAGCGATAGAAAGAATCTTTTTATAAAACACCCCAATAAATAAAGAAAAAGAAATGATGGAATGAGAGGATCTTTACTTTGCAATCCACAGTCGATGAATGGATCTACTCACTGAGGCATCAGCAGGTCCTAACATGTAAAAATAGGGAAGCAGATACGAAAGCACACAGCTCCACTACATCCTGTCTCAGGGACAAACCCGATTCCAAGGCAGCATCCAGATCCAGCCACCAGTGTGCAAGAGAGACAAGGTCAGAGCCACACGGAGAAGAGCGCCATGAGTGTGCGCCTGGCAAAAGCCAGAAGCCTGCAGGTGAAACAGCCTGGGTTGTCCTTCACCAGATAAAGTGAAGGTAAAGGAAGGGAGGGAGGGAAACCTGCAGAGACACTCAGAAGACATAGCAAAGAAAAAGAAAATGAACAAAACTCAACCACGCTGTCTAGGAATGCACACATGAGAGATAAAACCAGAAAGAGACAAAGGAGAAATAACAGAGATGAGTGTAAAACTCCAGGGTGGTGGTTATTTCTGTGAAACTGGAAGACAGGAGGTTGGTATTGGGATCCGGCCCACGAGGGGCTCTTGGTACGGCTGAGAAAATATAAACCATCACATGGGTGATGGCTACATGGCTTTCTGCCTTTTAACTCATTAAGCTACACATTTTGTGTGTGTGGTTTTGGGTATCTAGGTTTTATATTAAAATAAAAGTGCTTAAGCAATGTGGGGACACATATTCCCCACCACCAGCTCAAGAAAAGGCCCCTGCATCCACCAGGGATGACCATAATGTACAACCTGGGACACTTTTACAGAACGAGCTCTGGGCTGGAGAACCAGTAAGAACGGAGTTCTCCTCCCTCTTGTAAACCTGTCAAGGGACTGAGAGTGTCAATGGCTCACAAGGACGTCTCTGTGAAGGCTGAGGAAGGTCAGGGTGGGGCCCCAAGGGGAGCCAGAATGAGCGGAGTACCTCCTCCTTGCCGGATGCTGGTTCCTGGGCCCGCTCTCAGGGACGGGACTGCCTCTGCGCTTGACTCATTTGAGGTATTTCATCAATACAGAAGCTACCAAGATGCTAAGATCACCTGGTAAAGGCAGAAATTTTATTTCCTCTTGGCCAATTAACCTTCCAAATGTGGGTTATTAATAAATGAGTCACAAGAGTGTACTCCTCTTAATGTTTACGTGGATAGTATGGGGGAAGAAACTGTTTGCACTTTGATTAAATATCATAACTCAAGTGAGACAACACAATACGGTGTTAGGACTGATCGGTATTTTTAAAAGCTCGTTCTCAAGAAGTTCACCAGGATCCAGGTCCTAAAATGGAACATCCAAAGCAGAAGAAAGCTCTGGCTACTTCATGAAGACAGGCACGTGACTTTATTTTCTCATGGGCTGATCCTTTCAGGGAAGACCTAGTCAAGATGGCCCAGGAGGAAGAGAAAAAGATGCACTGCCCCTGTTTGTAAATTTTCTTTTTCAATCCTACATGCAATTTACCTAAATCATGCTTTGTAATACAAACAGCAGGAAGAGTTCTGGAATATTCTCAGCTAACGTCCTACACACAGCACGTGGACGTGAGATCGAGCTCTCGTCACCACAAGCAACACTCTAATGATCTGGGTTGGAGGGAGCGTACATTTGGTAAACACCACGTGCCACTGCTGTGCTGGGTGCTCAACCCGACAGCCCTCCTGTCTGGACACTGGCCCCAGAGCACCGGCCTGGGCAGACCAGCACTCGGGAGTGAGGTGGCACTCAACGCTACATCGTGTCATTACCTGAATCGCACCCTGGTTTTTATAGCCTCTGCCGTAGTACCTTCCACCTCTTCCAAATGTTCTGATCACTGGCGTGGAAATAACCCCTCTTGGGCGCCTAAATGCATAAAAGAGGACAAAAGCAGACAGACTTGAATTTGTTACAAACAACATTTAAAAGAGTATCAGATGGATTTAAAGGTGTCTAATCTGTGCTATAGAAGGCAGACTTTATTAAATCATGGTCATACCAAAGATTGACTTCAAGTAATCAGTCTTATTTTTTGGGGGGATGGGGATCCCTATATCTAGTGGGTTCAATTTGAAAAATAATACACTTCAAAAATGTTCCTTTTTTTAAACATTAAAAGAATGGTTAATTGAATCATTTGTGGATAATTCTTTAATAATGGTTTAAATAATCACATAACGCTATATGTAATGGAACCCTGTAACCTACTAAGAATAGTGTTAAAGAGGAATGTATTTAATGACATAAAAATGTCCCTAGTAAACTCATGATTAAAATAACAAGAAAGGCCTTTTTTTTTCTTAAAAAAATACAAATTTGCTTTCATTGTTCAAACTTACCCTCTTGCTGGTCCTCCGACAGAAACTACCTGCAGGGGGAAAGGCCCCCGGCCCCCCCGGCCCCGTCTGCTCCCAGCCCAGTGGCCGACCACGGTGCCAGCTATTTCTAGCTTCCCTCCCTGAGAAGGTATAGGTTGGATCCCTGCACAAAAATAGATGAAGAAAAAAAATCTTTACAATCACAGAATTAAGCATAGCGAACAGAAATAAGCAAGCTATTTCTTTTCAAATGTGGTTTCTATTATTTCCTCTGAAGCCCCTTTCTCTTGCTTTGTGAAGACTTCTTGTTTGTTATGTAAACTGTCTGCATACACACGATTGGATTTTAATGGTTTTAAGCTGTTCTTAAAAATACAGCTGAAAGTAAGAGGTGTTGACTATTCAAAGAACCCACGAGAACTAAAACAGGTTACAACCGCAAAATTGAGTGTGGCTTTTAGGTGGAAATACAGCCGAAGTACTGGGTGCTTATGGCACCAGCATGGAAACCTACAAACTCTGAATGTTCTTCTCTTCGGGTAATTATTTCCAAGCTTACTACCTCAACCAAACACTGCAGAAATGAATCAGTCAATCTAGTCTGTTACTTCTTATTGTGTTATGAAATGAAAATTTCCTTAGGCAGGGTCACAAATATCCACTGTGCTCACTAACTTCTATTAATTGCTGGTACCCTGCATAAGGTCTTCTGACTTCCCTAAGAAAAATTTCTCAGAACTTCTGATAAAAACAAAATAGAACAGAACCTCAAGCATCTTATTTTCTGGCAGATGGAATGGACAATAAACTCTCTATCATCTTGACGTTAGCCGTGGTGATTAACAGCCAGACAGCGCTGTCCAACAAAATCTACAACAAGCCTTACGTTTCCTAGTAGCCACATTAAAAAAGTACAAAGAAACATGTGAAATAAGCATTAATAATACGTATTTTATTTAACCCAGTATATCCAAAATAATGCTAATTTCAACAATGTAATCAATGCAAAAACTATGAATGAGACAGTCTGCACTCTTCTTTCTGTATTAAGTCAGCTCAGCTCGGATGAGCCACAGGTTCAAGTGCTCCAGAGCCACATGTGGCCAGTGGCTACTATACTGGACAGCGCAGATCTGAGTTCCAGATACAATCTGGAGGTTCCTCTTGTCATTTCAGACTAAAAAACCCACTCTGACCCCACAATGTCCACAGTCCTGACTCCCCGACCCCTGCCCCCGCCACCGCAGTATTTTATCCCAACTACAGGCCAGCGTGAGTTTCCAGGCAAGGGTTGCAAGAAGCTGAAATCGACTGTGAAGCAGAGGGCACACGTTCCTGCGCGCTGCGCCAGGCGCAGGAACAGAAGGGAGAGCGCCCCGGGCAGCCGGGAGAGCTAGGGGCAGGCGGGACGGGCGTGCGAGTCCAGGAGGAGAGGAGGGACGGCTCCTGCAGCTCACTCATCTGCCAGTCTGACTGCTACAAAACACGTCTCTCGGTGGCTTCTGTAAGTACCCAAGTAGCTGAGCTGGAAAAATATTCCTGGTCAAGAAAGAGAGGCGTGCCTATCCTAAAAGTTCTTCCAAAAATGTACCTGAATAACCCTGTAATTCAGACTTGATGACCAGGTTGAGATTTGCAGGCCCCACACATGGATTTAATGACAAAGCCACAAGTCACGGGCTTCAAGTACAGCAAAATCACAAGACAGTATTTCAAAACTAAACGTTAAGACTTCTTTTATCTCCCTCGCAAGCCTAGTACAAATGAGAAGAGAAGCAATGGAAATTTAAAACAGACTACATATACATCTGATGTTGGATACGTCTTTAAAGCTGTGACAAACTTTTCTATGCCAGGAACTCTGCGTTGGTCTTAGAATCTTCCATACGAGCATCATCCCCTTTACCTGCCAGGGGCTTGTTAGAGAATACGGAAGGAAAGGGACGACACTGAGTGTTCCTGGGCGGCCTGCTCTGTCGCAGGAGGCAGTGGTCAGGAGGCAGTGGTCAGGGGGCCGGGTGCAGAGAAGAAGGGCTGTGTGCAGACATGCACCAGCCCCGCCGAGAGGCAGGGGCGGGCCACAGCAAAGCTGCTGGGAAGGCCTGGGGGCAGGCAGAGCCGGGAGGAGACCTAGCAGAAAGGATGTGGCGCTGGGGTGACGACAGACGGGGAGAAGAGGCGGGAGGAGGGGAAGCTGCTGGCGGACAGAAGCTCCAGGAGGAGGTGTGGCATAATTACCGCCCTGCGACTTGCTAGTCCTGCTGCTGTCACTGCCTGAGAAGGCTCCGCAGTGTCCTGCCGCCGTCGCCACACGGAAGGCACGGTAAGCGCCTGTCGCTACAGTGTCCCCATAGGGGCCTCCAAAGCCACAGACTCCTGTGGGACCCGAGCGGAGAGAGACGGGAGAAGCCGTGAGGAACCGGGTTCAGGGAGAGCCACCAGTGGGCTTGTGGGCAGAGCAACCCCCGTGTCCCTCCACCGCTGGTCTTACACCGCCAGTCGCCGGGGAGGGGACTCCCAGCCCCTGCTGTCACCAGCGATACTGAAACGTCGCCCTGCCCGCTCTTGGAGGAGCCTCCTGAGACCAGATACTATTGCCAGAGGCTCTGCCACAGGCCTCGGGGGGGGGGCCTTAGTGCAGGAGAGCTCTGCAGGCTGCACACAGGAGAGGATCTCAAATCGCAAATGCGAGCAGGATTTCAGCCATACTGACCAATTTTAAAATCCTGTTTCTGCAACAACTTCTGCAGCTTCCTCTCCCTTTCCCATAATCTCTTCTAGGATCAAGTTTGCTCCTTTCTCACATAAGAGCTGTCGGTGCAAACTTCAGAACTAAGCCTGACAATCAATAACCTGGTCTCAACACGGCAAGACATGGCCCGCCAAGAAGGCCTGCCTGCTGGTCACACGCCTGCCTCCCCACACCGGCGCGTCCCGACATGCAGTGGGGGGCACGCTCACCTGCAAAGCCCCGCCCTCGGCCCTGAGCTGGAGGGATGGGCCCGAAGTGCCGGGGGTACACAGAGGCAGGGTAGAAAGGCAGCGCCGCCGGCGGTGGGAAGGGGAGCGGGTGGCTCTGCCGGGAGAAGTTCAGCCCTTCCAGGATGCTCTGCCGCATCTTCTCTACCTTGGCAGCTTGCTCGGCCTGCAAGGCAAGGACTGGCATGTGACAACTTGACTCACTAGATTTCCACTGAATTGGAATGAACAAGAAATAAGTATGACACACAGGTCACTGTGCCAGGCCTGTTTATTCTCCCGCAGATAAAACAGTCAAACTGCTCAACAACACTTGTTTACAGCATGCAAACGTGCAAACAAAAACTAACAGGTGCCTCTCCATCTCATAATCTTAAATCTTGTAAATCAAAAAGAATTTAAATTCCTACTTTCTCAGTATATCTTCAGGTGAGAGCTATTTATTATGAAAGTTACTAACCGAAAATGAACTTGGTTCTCAAAATCAATGTCTAAATCCAGACAGGTCACATTCAGTCTTCCTTCCACCCGTGGACCACAGGGAAGATGATGTCTAGTTCACATCTTTAAAATTTACTTTCCTATCAATTTAATTTTAGGTCAGAAATTTACTGTATTTTATAGAGAAGGAACTGAGGCACAGAGTGATCGATGCTGCTTAAGGGAAGCGTGGGGCTCTCTGAGACAGGACGGGACAAGAGCCCTGCTGAGCTGTCTGTGGGGCGACCTGCACAATGTGGACAATACAGCTTGTGTGTGTCCAACTCCACTGTGAAGTAACATCAGAAACGTTCAACCAGAGTGTCTTCTGTTAATAAACACATACTTAATACATACACCAACAACCCATCTTTAATCAGAGAAATTAAAAATCCATTTACTCTGTAAATCTGTCTTCAGACTGAGCTTGACTTAAGCAGCATGTGGGAAAATGCATGTTTTATAGTCTAAGATTTAAAAGCTTGAAGCACATGTGAGCATCTTTCATGCAATGGGACAAGATAACCTGATAATCTACTTCACTTTATTTTTAAATTAAGGTTTTAAAAGTACAGCCAATCTTCATCATTCAGGAGTTTCACATTTGCAGAATCACCCACTTGCTAAAATTTATTTATAACCTCCAAAATCAACATTCATGGCATTTTCATAGTCATTTGAAGACATGCGCTGAGTGGGATAAAGTTTGAGTTGGGATCTGAGGTTGCAGGATGCACAGCATGGCCTTCGTGTTTCAGCTTTTATACTGTAAACAGGTGTCCTGTTCATTGTGTTCCTAGTGTCACGGTTTCCGTGTTTTTGTGAGTGACTTGTGTGAAATGTCCCCAAGCACAGTGCTGAGTTCTGGCTTGTGTTCCCAAGTGCTGGGCTGTAAGGTATCTCATGGAGAAAACATAACGTGCTAGTTAAACGAGCTTTGCTCAGGCTGAGTTACAGACCTGCCGGCCATAAGTGCAATATGAGTGAATTAACACTATATCTATGCATTAAGAAGTCTTTAAACAGAAACACATTAAGGAAGGTTATGTGCTGACTGGTTGATGAAGATGTTGTGACGGGAGGCTCGCAGGAACCTAAGCCTGTACTTCCCCTAAGAGCAAAGGTTCAGTATTTGCTAATTCAGTGTTCAAGGCATAGTTATAGAATATAATTACTGTGAATGAGAAGCAAGTGTCTATCCTGAGCGCGGCTCATGTGGGCACTTAACTGACACCTGGTTACACAATGGGCTGAGCCTAACCTACATCAGAGTGCTGTCTCACAGGCTCGTTACAAATTCGGTCGGAAAGGTGACAGATTAGCCAGTGAGCACGTTATTTCATTCCAGCCGGAAGTCACCACCCGCTCCTCCCTGGCCCGCCCACCCTCTTCCCTGCAACTGACCTGACCATCACAGAGGTCGATGAGTGGGGTCTTTTCCCGGCTTGCTTTGAGGAGTTTGGACTGGAAGAGCTTTCCATCAAAATACATCCAAGGACAGCAGTGTTCCCAGGGCACTGGCTGGCCACACGCGTCGTTTGCAAACAAGGCCATGTCCACGCCACTCATGAAGAGAGCTGACAGCTGAATGCCTCGGGGGTCGAGGTTCTCAATCTTTAAACGGAAAAGAGTGATTTCTATGGAGTAAGAGTACCACCGTATCTAACTCTTGCAATGTCTGACTACAGCTCTCCACAGTTATCGAGGACACCCCTCAACCAAACGGCCCCCTAAGCAGTCCTGTCCCTACTTCACAGTGACTCAGCACTGACCTGTCCAAACAGAAAGACCTTTTAAGTTATTTAACAAATTTAAATTTAAGAGACTGTTTTATAAACACACTGAAATACTTCAATTCGGAATTTATAAAGAGTTACATAAGTGTAAAGTAATACTGTATTTAAGGTGGACAGTTGACAAAGTACCAAATTATTAAGTTTCCTTAGCAGTTAAGCCCACAATTCATTTATGAAATAAAATTTTCCATTTCAGATTCTAAACACTGGCAATACATCAACAGAAATGTTGTACAAAGGAATATTCTATTCAGGTTCTGCATTTTTTCAGGTAGTTATCTTAAAAAATGACTTGGTGTAAGTTCATTCTAAAGCATAATACTTTACGTTTACAGCATTTTATATGCTAATGTTTTAGATAGCAACTTATTAATGAGACTGTCAAAATGTTTTAGGAGAAATGGATAGCTCATAAATGAAAGAACACAACAGCAAAAACACTGTATCTGAACCATGCACACTATCAGCATCTACAGGCTTGCATCTCTGGCGTCTTCTCACTCACACATTAGTGCCGTGAGCCTCCCTGGGCACACACAGCCCTCGCGTCTAGCATCTGATGCAGCGGATAAGAAACACTGCCAAATACAGTCAACTCTTGATTATCTGTGAAGGACCTAGTTTGTGGATTATCCAGGACTGAGTCTTAACTGTCCTGGTTTCTGTCTTCCCATCTTGCACGCTCATTTTCAAAGGCGCTGGCATCCCAAGAATGCAGTCTTTACAGGTACCAACCTGAGTCGTGCCTAATGGTGGCAGGTAAACTGGCCTTTCATTAAAGAGAAAAAAGACAATTTCTGTGCCCAATGTTAATGAATTTGTGATTATCTGACGTTTTGTGCCGTCAGTGTCAACACTCCCCGTTATCAGCCAACACTGTTTTTCAACTTTTTTTTTAAAAAGTTGAAGTCAATGCAGTGAAGAACTTAACCTGTAGAAGTCTGTCCACCCTTCCGAGCCCACCCCCCTGGCTCCTGCTTCTCCAATGGAGCGTCCGAAAGCAGAACTAAATATGCTCAGTCGAGGGCAGGTAGGGATGGGGTGATGGAATTAGATGCAGTTTTGTATTTCTAAGCAGAAAGTGGAAAAAGAGAGGGTCAAAACGGAAAAAAAAAATCACCTAACTTACTTAGCGCCTCACTGGCCCTGCCTTTCTGTGCACTGCAGAAAGGAAGTGGAAGTCCCTTCTCCGCTGAGAGTCTTGAGGCAGAAAGAGGGAGGGGAACCTCCCGGAACACTGGCGCTGTGGGGAGGCGGCACCGCAGTGATGCCAGCCTGAGCCTGGGGGCTGCCTGCGCACATACCCCTCCCCTGGCCCTCTGCAGGGACAATGGCAGCCAGGCCTCTACTGCGCTCTCTGCGCCAGCCCCCAGCCTCCCAGGCCAGAGGACGGGGGACCTGGGCAAGGCTGAGGGCAAGGCAGTGATGGCACTGATGCTGCCCTCAGGATGCTTTGTAACAAAGTGCCAGCAGCACGCTCCTGGGGAAGTCCGTACTGCTGTCATTTCTTAGTCCCCGGTGGTGTTGGTCACAGCCACGCCCAGCCCTTATTTCACCAATACAGCTCAAAACCAATGTGGGCAGTTGGCCGCATGAGTGCTGAGGTTAAGAAACGAGCCAGTGTGTGGGGCCCAGGAGCACCCCAGTTAGAACAAGTGACCCTCTAGTGAGCTGATGGGAGGAACGGACGAGTCTACGGTTCCCACACACATACATATTTATTTTAAATGGCCTCATCATTAGCTGAAGAACTGTGTATGGGTTTAAAAAACGATTTTCAAGTCAATTAGTTTTAGAAATGACAACTATCACTGATTTAATGGAGAAAAATTCTTCAAATCAAAGCTGGCTAAATAATATGAATGAAATCTCAACTGCTGTGTGGATTTCGCTTCATTTGAAAAATGTTTTAAGTACTTTACATGGTGTTTTATATTTCTTTCCCTAAATGTGAATTATAAATATAAATGGCTGCAATATTCCTATTCCAACCTCATCCTCTTATACCAAGTGAGATAAAATATTTGCCTTTATTCAAAGTTCCTCAACTAGAGAAACGGTGACAAAATTTTCTGCCCTTACAGGAAATAAAAATATGGAATGTATCTCTGGCCAATGCGCTCAAGAACCAAATTCCAGTGAGGTCACTCTGTCCAACTTCTAATTACTGGGCAACAGACTCTTTACTTTGACTTGTCGTATTTACCTATATGCACAATAATTCCTACAGGTATCACAGACATGCTGCAATCCCTAATACTGCCTTTAAAGCTCTTCATTTTCTATCTTTTATACTCTGCACTTGGCATGTGAAACTGTTAAAAGAATCTGAGGCAATTTCAGGGATGTCAGGAGCAAGGGAGAAAGAAACTGGACAAATATTAAAACTGTACAAAGGCCCTTCTCCTCATCCTTTACCAGCCCTCCTCCAAGCACAGTGTCACTGCTGATTTTCCCTCAGTCATTTCATTTGTGCTGGTGACCTACGAGAAGGGTCTGAAAAATATACCAGGGAAAAAGTGAGGGCGGTCACTCAGTGTCACAGGTCCTCAAAGAGCCACACAGAATGCTCGACTGTTCAGGGTTGTGGCAGGCGGACAGAGAATGTACAGGATGAAACTCTTAGCAAACCTCCAGTCAGAATAGCTAACAAGAGGTCAAACTGCCAAAATTATTTTCTTTCTCTTCTCTTTATTCTCAAAGCGCATAATGGACAAAAATGGGAGGAGGAAAACAGGATCTGGGCAATCCACAAACTGGACAGTGGCCCCTAAAACAACAGCAAAAATCAAGAGTTGACTATATCCTAAACAGGGAAATGGTGTTTTGTAGGAAAGCACTGTCACTGCTTTTGAAATATCAAAACAACTTTAATGGTTAAATGAAAAAGCAATGTCGAAATTTACTTTTCTATCACTGAATTTGGGGACCCTCAGCTCTGCGTTGGGATTTGTGTAGCAATGAAATAATGATTATTCCTGTCAGTTCTCAATCTGACAGCTGAGAGGCTCTTTAATCTTAAAAAAAAACAAACCGACTACCTTCCCCCCACACCCACAGCGAATATGCTATTAGCTCCCCTTCCGGCTTGTTCAGAATTTATGGTGCTTGCGAATGAAGCACTGACGGTGCAGGCTGCCCTTGGTGGAGGGAATGCAGACCCCCCGACCAGCAAGACCCACAGGGACCGTGGTGGGCCTGAAGTAACTGCACATAAAATGGGTCCTTCTCAACGCCTGGCTTTAGATGAAGAAAAAGGAGAAAAATCATGAAAGCACTAAGACCTCAAAAGAACCAAAATGAAAGCTTAGAGTGTGACTGTCTTTCAAAAGCTATATCCTATGTGTTGATCCAAAAATGAAAAGGATATGGGAGAAGATGAACTTGGAGTAAAAGCAACTTGATGGTGAATAAGGCTTGGTGGGCATACCTGATACCTGGCGGTCTGATTTTCAGAACTGGGATGTCAATACTGATGTAATAATCTAAATAAGAGAAACAGGAAGTAGAGGTAGAGGGATGGCACCACACTCTGGTCAAAGTATTCACAACACCCCTAAGCACAGTTGCTGCTGAAGACGGTGGTGATGGCACCACGCTCTAGGACACAGGGAGGGAGGGCCTGCACTCAGTACCAGCCTCTCGGGGGACACCCAGCCAAACGTTCTAGAACGAAAACTTAAATTCAAAACCATTTAAAATAACCACAGTTTCTGTCTAACAAACAGAAAAGCTTAATCTACAGTGTAAAGAACACAGTTTGAGGTGGACTCTCCTAAGTTCTGTTGTCTTTAGTTTAGCTTCTTTCGAAGTCATCAGAAACCTAAGGTGACCACGAATGACATGGGCTCCACGCAGCTAAGGGTTACTCAACACTGAAAAACTGAATTTAACTCAATCATTTAGGGGAAATCAGAGATTTATTCAGCCCCAACTGCAGAATACTGAAAATCTCTCAAATGAGCCTAAAACTCTTCTGCGGGGAAAGAACGCCTTCATAAAGAATGGCCAAAAGATCTAAAAGTGAAGGCGAGTTTGTCAAAAGAGATTACTTGATTACAAATCAAATTTTGTAAAAAAAAAACAAACTAACAAAAAAAACCAAACCAATGGCAAAGAAAAAACCCAAAACCCTGTACAATAAAAAGAAAAAGCAGATCCACTCATTTAGCTAACTCTGGAAAGTCTTGAACTTTCTAAAATTTAGTGTCGCAATCAGGAAGCAAGTACAGCCATGTGGACACAGTGACTAATAAAAGTGCACTGAAAAGATAAGCACACCAAAAAATCAGGTGACAACATGGAGAAAATTAATATTGTCAAAACAATTAAAGAACAAAAAGAACACTAGAAGGGAAAATTAAAAGAAATACGATGTTAAAGGCTGACTAAAAGGGCACAGGGATGATGACATAACATTGTTCTTCAAGTGGTTTTTTTTAAAAGGGATTTATAATACCAGGAGGGCAAAGGTGTTTTGTTTTTGTTTTTGTTTTTTTAAAGAAAACGAATGTTGTAATTAGGAACAACAGAACGAAATAAGAAAAAGAATCCTGGCCAGATGTTAGTCAATTCTTAGGACCAAGCCCTCCCAGGGTTTGGGATCCCCATCTGAAATAAAAGGCAAGTTTATTTCCTGATACGAAAAACAAGAATAAACACCCACTGGTAAACAAGGGAAAATCTTATCCAACAAAAGTAGGCTTGACTGTTTTCATAACTGGGAAGGAAATCCCTTTTGCCCTGAAGGCTCTCAAGTTCACCTCATTAGTACTACGAGTTTAGTGCACTGAGTGACTGCTTAGTGAGGTTAGCTGTGTCTCCAAGAACTCCAAAACAAGGCTTCCCAAGACACGACTTCCCAAGACAAGGAATGAGGCTTGCCAATTACCTTGAGCTCCTGCAGCTGATCAGGCTCATAGAGTTTGGGGGACAACGCCTGAGCCAGGAAGGCATCCAGCTCCTGCCGACGCAGTATCCGTGCTCCAGGCCACTGCACCATATACCTGCAGGGGGTGGACAGAGAGGGTCTAGCGTCAGGATGCGGCCGTCACCAGTCAGGCGCACAACCTGGTGCTCCGGTGCTAAGTTTGCTCAGGACGACACAAGCTAAGGAGGCCTATATGGATTTCTCACCCAGCTTTTTCTATCTTCACTGGATGTTGCCAATTACAAGTACAAACCTCATCATCTGGACTCATCAGAATGATTTCAGAGGAATGAAAAATAGCACGCTAAGTCTGTACATACTGTAAGCCAGCTGGTAAGTGATTTTTGATATAACTTTACTCTTCTGAAGTGTTTAAACCCTGAAAATGTATTTTAAGCACCAGTGTATAAGATTTATCTATTTGAATTCAAGACAGGATACCTGGGAGGCAGGCCTTAAGTCCAAACAAGAAAGATTAATCTCCCGATGAAGAGTGAGTGTGCGAACCGTCTGCACAGAAGGGGCCCTGGCGGTGGCAGGGGAGTGCCCCGGGATGGAGAGGGAAGGGACAGCAGGGACAATGCCTTAAGCTTCAGCCTTCAGAACTGGCACAATCCCTGGGGACACACAGACTTTCTGGGGCCACCCTGGTATGGACAGCTGTAGGGAAATCCATTTCTAATTCTTCAACTTCCATTTGTACTATCTGCCTGCGGACCGTCAGGTGTCCGCATTCCCTCTTCTCTACAAATCCTTTCCCCTGTACTCACCTTGCCGGACAGCACTGCTCCAGTGACAATCTCCAGGATGCTAAGCCAAAGCTCAACTCCAAGGAGTATTTGGGTATGAGAGAGTGAAAGGCTAACCACTAAGAACCTGTCTCACCGCATGGCCAGGGGTTCCCGGTTCTCTGCATTCAGCAAACCTGACCTAGCCAAGTTGCCAACTGATCATCATAAATAACTGCTGGCTTAAAAGGAGTCCGGAGAACCATGACATGCCTGACGAAGCTCTTTCCAGGCCTGTCTGCCGAGGAAGTTATCTCAGCGCTTAAAATTTAAGTTAACAAAACTCAGGATCAGAGTCAGTGTTGAGCCCTCTCTCCCTCTCTCATTTCTGTAACAATTAATATTCATCCACAGGAACATAAACTAATAGGTAAAGGAGGTTCCACCCAGCTGATTCAGAGAAGTATTTTCAATAAAAACCCCAGTATAAAAATCGAAAGTGCTCACTGGGTGCCAGGCGCTGCTCTGAGCATTTACCACACATTAACATCTCGAGTGGCCACAGCAACTCTGAGGCCGGGACCACTACTGCCCCATTCTAGAGATGGGGAAGTGAAGGCACGGAGCTTATTTACTTCATGGTAAAGCTGTACACTGAAAGTTGAAAGGAAATGCAATTTCAAAGTAAACAAACAGTGGATGTTAAATCTCCACGGTATTTAGATATAATCAGAAATATGTAAAAGAGTGATGCAAACGTTTTATTTCATTAAATTGTCAATGTCTGTGATGACAAAAAAAAAATAGCACCCTTTGTAATTGTTTGAGTGCCCAGAATCTTAAATAAAAGAGTCTTCGTGAGTTTTAACCAGGGCTTGATGCAAGAACAGCAAATATGAAGAAAGTAACCCTACTCTTGTCTGAAAAAAATTACTGTGGAAAAGTTGTGCTTGATATGTGCTTTGCCTAAGTACCCATGTTATACATCCCTTTATCTTTATTTCTTATTTTTAAAAAACTGTGGTGAAATACACATAACATGAAATTTAGCATCTTAACCATTTCTAAGTGGACAGCACAATCGTCTTTATTAGATTCACTCACGGCGGCTGAGCAGCCACCCCAACGACTGGCCCCTACCACAGTTTTCATCCTGCAAAGCCATGAAACACTCACTCCCCTCCCTGCCCCCTCATCCCAGACTAGATGCTCCTTTACAAACTGTGAATCAGAAAAAAGACTGTCTCGGGAACAGGCTGGTTTCCCCAGCAGCAAAGGCTCTCAGCGCTCGGTTTAGCTCTGACAACAAATAGTCTTACGGGCTTAGAAGACCTACTGTGTCCTCCATTTGGCTTCCTATCCACAGTTTAACAAAGTTACCATTTACCTCTTGCTCAATGTACGTCCCCAGAAAGACTTTCTGGATGTAGAAGGAGTATGAAGTGTGTACATGGAGAGATGCATGCCCAGAGCAGCTGAAATCCTGGAGAGCCCCGGGAGATGTCAGATGGCACCGATGGCAAAGGTGAGAGCAGCAAGCATCTCCCCTTGACCATCTCGTGTGTTCGAGCTATTCCTGTCGGCGCACTGTCTGTGCACGGACAGTGCTTTCAATCCCTTCGCATTTCTCAGTTTTGTCCAGACATTCTTTTCCATGACTTCTCCACTCCCAGCCTTAAGTTTCCTGCCCCGGAAGTTGGGGGGTCTCTGGGTTCTCCCTTTGTCACCTCCCCGCCCAATGCCCTTCAGAAGCAGGTCTCTGTGACACTGGGACCCATGAGGTCTGCCCGCGACGGACACAGGTAAGAAGCGAGACCCCGGCTGTGCTCCTCGGGGTGCTGGGACAGGCTGCGCTGACTGTGTGAGTCTTGTTTGGGGCCCTAAGCCCTCCAGTCCCCTTATTTTATTCAAGTTCCTCCTCCTCAGGAGAACGTGAACTCTCTGGGCTAAGGACCTGCTGCTGCCCGCTCTCAGGAAGGCTGCTTTCTGTTCTGGACGCTTGCTTCACCCTCACTGAACCTCTGCTCAGACGCGGGCCCCTCCTCATCCCCACTACAAGGGTTCTAGAAATCTGGCTGCCGTCCTCCCCCCATCCTCCTGATTGCTGCTGCAATGTCACACTTGGAACGCATGTCACGTACGGGTGCTGACATCACTGTGAAAGTAGACCACCGCCTCCTGGCTGGGGCATGCCTGTCCCCAAAGCAGAAACGCAATCTCATCACGGAGGGACACCAACAAATCGGGACTGACAGTCTGCCCAGAGGCGGCCGCCTGATTTTAAACGCAATTTCCTGGAGCAGCCACACCTATTAGTTCACATGCTGCCTAAAAGACGAACGATCTGCAGGTCTCTGGTCTGGAAAAAAAAAAAACCCAATGTTTACTCTCTTCAGAAAAGTCCCTGCACCGACCCAAAGAAACCCGAGAAGTTGTCTTAGACTGGAGGACACATGGCAACTAAACGCAAGCACAAAGCCAAGATTCTGTTGCTAATAAAGGAGGTTACCAGGGCAACAGGTGAAACCTGAGCAAGCTCTGCACATGAGATGTATCAGTGTCACTTTTCTGATTTTGATAATGTCCTTGTTTTTTAAGGAAACACAGACTAAAGAGCTTAGGGTAAACGGGCATCGCACCCACAACTTCCGTTCAAGGGATTCAGGACACACACACAGACACACAGAGAGAGAGGACAAAGCCGCTGCGATACAGCGTTCACGTGTGGGGAACCAGGGGGCGGGGCGGCCAGCCACCAATCAAACGGGGTGCCCTCCTTTACCTGCTTGTCCCTATGGCCCCAGAACACCCACACAGGTAGAACACATGCTCTTAGTGGAGGCACACCAACCCGTTTACTGGTGTCCTGGCCTCAAATCCTTGGGACCTGTTCCGTGAGTCGCTCGCCTTCATCTCTCCCCAACGACCTGGCCTCAACAGGCCCCTCCTCCCCAGGATCTGAAACCGTGTGAGTCTGTCCAAGCGGGAAACTCCACGGCTCCTAGCCCACCCCACACACAACAGTCTGCACAACCAGCCTGTCCTCTGGCCTCCGCTGGGGTGCCAAGGAGCGGGGAACCCACAATGAACTCACTGTAGCTTCTTGACAACACAGACATGAGCCCAGGAGGTGGTTCCCTGAAACACAAGATCACTAGTTGCATTTATTAATCTTTTCAAGTTCTAAAGTGAGTATGCTTTTAATAAACAATAGAAATCACAACAAAGATTATCTGAAAAACAGGGACCAGCACAATGCTGAAATCCGGGAAGACTTACAAAGGCCATCTGAACAGTGCCTACCTCCTTCTGGGGTAATAGCCAAGGAAGAGTCACAAAGACCAACACAAAGAGCGGGGCCCGGTCACACTGCCCGGTCTGCACGTGTCCAGCATCCCAGCGCCCCACGGGGCCAAGTGCATGAACACACGAGACGCGAAGGCACTGCCATCCCAAGGAGCGTGAAATAACGTTGAGTACTGTGTTCACGTCAACAGTGGCTGCTCCCACACTAATATACAGCTGCTTCTGTCCAAGGGGAGCCAAACGAGCCTCAGGTGCAGCACACACTGTCCTCCCTCAGGGCGCCGGGGGATCTTTACGCCAGGTGTATGGTAGACAGCTAACTGAATTAGAGGCCACACATAATTTTAAACTTGGAAGAGAGACATATGAACAAATTCATTACTGCTGATTTGATCGCAGAGCCCTCAAAGTCTTAACCTTAAAGTGTTGGCTATTACAAGGCTTTTATCGATAAATGAATTCTCCATCAGAGGAAACTAGCAGAGGATTCTAAAACAAAAACAAAGAACTTTCCCTCCAGCTAACCCTCAACAGAGATAAAGATAGGAAACTGACACACTACGCTCATTTTCGTTAACCTCAGTTTAACTAAGGAAAGGCTTCTAAGTAAGTTATTGGCCTTAAAGTCTGTTATGAATTTATGAAACTTCAGGAAATAAACACCTGACCGAGGCTGTCTGCTGTTCTTAGTCAAGCAGATGAGATCCAGTGGGGATCAGGGGCCCATGGAGAAGGAGCTAGCCTGGGGGGACAGGACACACAGGGCTGGGGCAGGTGATGGCCTGGATGACAGCTGTGCCCCAGGCTCTGTTTGTCAGAGTCTGAGGCCACACACACGGGAAAAGAGAGGTAGGCTGGGCAGGCTGAAGGCACCAGAAGCAGAAGTCTACACACATGCAGATGTCTGTGTCCATAAGTGCACTGGGAAGGCCTGGGAGCAGCGAAGAGCGTCGTGTCCAACACCAAACCCATCACTAGAAACTAGGGCTGCTGGGAAAAATGGGGCATCCACGGTGAGGCCAGAACATCTCCAAAGAGAAGTAAGGAAGTGCTCACAGAATGACGAAGACACGTCAGAACACAGAGGCCAGACTGACAAGGCCCCCACCTGGCCCAACACGTGATGGTGAAGCACCAAATTAAATGAGGGCAGTAGTGGGCCACAAGCCACTGAAGCAGCCAGGAGCCCATGCTGACACGAATGCACTAAAGTTTGAGGTGGAACAGAATGTTTACACTAAGTGCCTCGCATGAAATCGTATTAGTTACAAGGGGACAGAACGGCCTCACTGGAGAAGCCAGGCAGACGCCCCCTCTGCCAAGTGGTCAGGGTGCAGACACACAGCCTGGACGAGATACGGAGGAGGAGAGGACAGCTCCACGCTCCACCAGCACCTGCTGGAGACCAACAGGAGTTCATCTCCAAATACAAAGAGACGGCCTGCAACAAACCTCAAGTTTAGATAGAAACCAAGCCCCGATGCTGGTCGGTCCCCTGGCTGTACTGGGGTCGCACAGGACAGTGTACTTGTCTGTTGGCAGATCACACTCCAGTATCTGTTTTTTAAAAGCTCTTTGTATTATACAACTTTTTCCTTAGTCTGAAATTGGCTTAAAAAAACAAAAACAAAGCCCTCACTTTTAAATCATTATGTTTACATAAAGTGTAGGTTCATCAAACACACCTATTCATAAACATGCTATACTGCATCAATTCAAATCCAAATCAAATACAAGATGAGGACTAATTTCAACCGGCAAGACGATTCATCTGGCGTGACCCCCGGGAGCGTCACACAGAACGCATCCTGGGGAGGCGTCCGCACAAGCACGCGCCAGGGAGCTGGCAGCGGCCGGCCGCACCTACCGTAGGACGCAGCACAGCACCGTGAGATGAGTGGGCACGCTGGCTGGGTTGAGCATGGCTGGTGTGTCCGACCTCATGCAGGCCAGGAAGGCCCTCATCCTGCGGTTCTTGTCCTCCACCGCCTTCCCCAGCCAGAGTCTCTTCAGGTTGGGGCAGGTCCACTCCCTGAAGGCAAGGGCTTCCACCAGCTCCGGGGTCTGGGGAGACTTCCCTTTGTAAGCTGCCCACTCTTTAATGATCACTGGCGAGACTACAGGAAGGAAAAGCAGAGGAGAACCATTTATGCCCCATCGCAGCCGCCTTAAGCCTAACAAAACCCAAAAGCTCTAGTAATTATAGTTTGAGGATGTCACCCCTTGTATAGCAACGCACTCTCTCATTAGCAAGCCCTCGGTGATCAGTCCTCCCTCTGAGACACTTGTGTTTCCTACTCCATGCACCTTAGTGACTCATTCGGATTTGCAGTCAGGCCACCAATAAATTTCTTCTCAATCAAATCAAATCAAACTGGACTTCTCCATATAACTATTATGTATAAGTCAACAATGTTAGACAAAATTTGTTTTAATATTTTAAATCCACTAACAGTCTTAGTAATAACAACTGGTAACATTTAGAGAAGTGTATGACTATCGTGGAAACCAGACAGCGAAGCTTTTTCTATATAAATACTTTTACTAATTAGATTTGAGAAATAATTTGCAATTTGGCAGCCACTTTACTCTAGGACCTCCTACTTCAATAAATATAACTGTTAAACTCTATTTTAAGGATTAACAGGGACAAACTACCACACAGTGAGACCCCCACAGCCCAGCAAGGCAGCAAGCGGAAGCAGTATTCCATGTTTCAAAAATCCCAGGTGAAGTCGGCACACAGTATTTCTACTCAGCAAGACTGAAGACAAACTGTAAAATTCCCCATTTCACCTCAAAAAAAAAAAATCAAGATGTTCTAAGTTGGTATCATACAAAACAATGACCTTTTATCCACAGTGGTTTTACCCCTATTAGCATCAATTAATTCTTAAAACACACACAAACATGCACATTTTCCCATGTAAGTTCCAGATTACTTAAAGGAGACACTATGATGGGACACGGGGAGGGAGGACAATGAAGATAAGGCATTCTGCAGAGAAGTGCAGTAAAACTTCTCATCAAAATGCACTGATGTCAACAATTGGGTGGGAAAATCTGGGTGTGCGTTTACTTTGATCAATAACCATCAGAACCGAAGCAGGGCGCCCCTGGCCCAGGGAGCCGCTCGCATGCCCTCCCGCCTCCACGTGGCTGACAGCTGGTACAGGAGCCAGGATGGTGCTGTGATTCTAATGTGACCTTGGATGTATCAATTTTATCCAAATAACAGTACCCCACCTGGGTTCATTTTCCCTAAAGTAACACCCAGGACAGACTGAGCAAATGGAGAGACGGTGAAGAACCCGAATCCTGACAAAGTTAAACGATTAACTGGCCCACCTCCAGCTCCACCCCAAGTCTGAACAGAGTCAGGCAAGACAACCATCTCTTCCAATGTCACGAAGAATTTCAGGAGTCAGATACTTGGATATATACAGTGTGTCAGCGACAGGAAAAGCAAGCTTTGGCACATTCAGCCCCAGTCAAGTCAGGTGACAGTGAGCTGCAGAGGAGCGCCATGACCAGTCATTCTGCAGGGCCCCCCCCCCCATCTCCCAGGAGCAGGCTGCTTGAGCAGGGATGCAAGTCAAGACAGTTTCTGAAAATGTTCCTCTTACAAAAAAGTAACTGTTCCGTCACTGGGAAAATCCCTTTAATTTACATTTGAATATATTAGTGTTTAAATGTTAAAGGCAAATTTTAAATACTTAAAATGTTCATCTTAAAGTCCACCAAGTCAAAACAGAGCTATACATGTATATATAAATACATGCTTCTTGAAATTAATCTATTTTTACGTGCCAAACGCAAACTCACAAAGTCCCCACTGTTCAGCAGACCCTGTCCGTGGACTCACAATCTAGCCACCCACCCCCCATGCCCGCCCAGCTCCAGCACACACAGCTCCACGCAGGGCCTGCCCATACACAGGGGGCGCCGGTCACCGCCGCAGGGTGCCCCTGGGTGCCCTGCCTGCCCCGCCTTTGCCCCAACTACCATCTCAGAGGCTGGCACACTGTCAGTCCCAACAAAAGAGGTGAAAGGAGGTTACCAAATAACCCGTTAACCAGTTCGCTGCACTTCTATCAGGTCACTCCACAAAGTGCATTTTCATGCCTCCAAGAGCAAAAACGCATGAATCTATTTTTCTTAGGTACGTCTTTGTTTTGCTGGCAAAGATTTATTTAATGAAACTAATTATATTTTATCTTTGGTTGTTAATCTAGGCTCTCTTATTTTCTCCCTCCAAAACACACACACACACCACACCACGCACGCATGCACACAGAGCATAAGTTTACTGCATCTTAAAAAAACCTCAGGATACACTGTCAGAGACTCCTTTGAGCTTTCTCAAGAGAGGCACTCTTATTAAAGCTTCCTTCATCTCCATTTCTCTCCCTTTTGACAGCTCTGTTCTTGCCTCTTTTAATAATTTTTAACAATCATTTTATTTTGTCTTCATTCTAGAAATAAATTTTTGGTGGAGGATTTTCATTCTGAAGCTCAGAATGCTTAGACCTCTACATGCTTTATGTTCTAAGATACAGCGCAGATAAGTGGAGGCTGGAAGTGCCAGCGGCCCCTTCACGAGTGTCTGTTTACCCAAGTCTTCCCTGAAGCTGCCCTAGACAGCTGTCCACACTCGCGGGGGCTCCGAAGGACCCAAGTGTGCCCGAGTTTACCTGGCATGGTGCTGTGTGCTCGGCTCCCGTACAGCCCGCAAAGGCTGCAGATGAGCACACGCTCACGCCTAAGGACTGCCACCTGACGCCGTGAGCCCGCGTCCCTGGGGAAAGGACGGCTCCAGTACTAGCAGGGATGTGCCGTCGGTTCCCACCAGGAGCGCAGCGCAGGGGGGAGCGCAGCTGTCAAGGAGGTATCGGATGTCTTAGCTTCCTCTCATCCTTCCAAGCATTTTTGCTGCTTCTCTGCACTACTCAGAACAAGAATGGCTCAAAGGGGAGGGGCTTCAGGGCGGCAGAACAGAAGGAGGCGGGGCTCACCCTCTCCCACAAATACATCCACGTGTAGAACATTCTCAAAGAATGGCCCCCAACTGAATTTAGGAAATACATGTCTTTTTTTTTTTTTTGGAAGTTTTTCGTCACTCATCACTTTATTTCAAACATTGTCTGGACGAAGGGAATATTCTACTCAGGCAAATTTGTGAAGCTCAAGAATTAGGAAATAAATGTCTTTATCAGAGAAAATAGGCAGCAAAATGTGCAGCAATGAAAAACTGTTCCAAAAGCAAAGATGCTCCTATTGGCTTTATTTTTTAACACGTGTGTATCTGTTTTTGAACAACTGAACATTTGGAGACCTTCTGTGTACACTGCCACTCAGTAGCTGTGGAAACTTTGGCCAATCACCTAATAGATATGTACTAAGTACCTACTATGTACCAGACTGGCTGGGGCATGGGTGAGGCAGGTGCCAACCCCCGTGTGCCCATGCTATTAGCAAGGGTCTCAAATTCTGAGGACTAGGCCCCTCATCTGCCTCACCCCAGCCCAGCCCTGGGACTAGGCACTGAAAAAAGGACGCCAGCCACTCACTCTGCAGCACAATCCAGATGAGGAAACACAAAGGTGCCTCACACCCCTGTTATGTGCTCACGACTGTGTGAGACCAACCTATGTTGTATAGACTCATTACATTAGATTAATTAAAGATTCGTGTTTTATAAAATAATGAATTCCAAGAGACATCCCATTCCGGGGTTGACACGTGGCAGCCTCTGCGTTACAAGCTGCCTGACAGGGGTGGCTGAGGCACACGCAGCACCTTCCCTCCCTCTGGCTCCGGGCTCCTTCTGAAGTCGCTGCTGCCCAGGAGGGAAGGCTCAGTCTCTAACTCAGCGCACAGGAACAAGCAGGTGCAGAGTGGCCAGCTCTTAGCATTTTCTGCAAAAACCACCGGTTATACAGGGATTTTCCAGATGGCACGGGCAGCTGGATTACAGGAACACCCTGAGCGCACGTCCGAGTGCCCACAGACACGAGCACTGTGGTATAAAACTCTCTGTGCAAAGGTACCATTTTAGAAAGACATGTTCCTGCTGCCTTGTTAAAACAATAAGAGAATTCCAGAAATCAGCTAACCCAGTTGCTGTCCATGAATAAATCTGTGTGTCACCATCAACAAATATTTAACTTGTCTTTTCTACCGACAGGAAAACTCCCAATTTCAAGTAAAGGTCTGAGAAAAAACTGAATATCAGGTTGTCTTTCTGACCTGAAACTAAACTGAATTTTCATGTTGGCAAAAGCAATTCTAAGGCATCAGTTTTCCGTATTCCTGGAGGCTAAATTTATAACGTACTTTCTGTACTAAAAGCACTTCTTCAAAATACAATTTCAGGACCCAAAACATTATTATGCTTAAGCTGTCAGTAAAAACCCAATGTTTTCCATCAGACATTAGCCATGTTCTACTATCTTCACATTTAAATATGTGACGACCAGCTACCTTGGAAATCTGTTATAATGCTGATTTCAGGATCCATCCCAGACCAGGAACAATGAACACGTTTCATTGTGTCAGCCTATTCTAACTCACTGGTAGTGGCCGGCTCTAGTGCCATCTGATGAAGTATATGCCTCTAAGCTCGGTGCCAGAACACCACTAGCACCGAGCAGTGCAGCACATGGGCGATAAGGTTACAGGTAAGGAAAAAGATGGAGACAAAAAACCTCCAAGACTGCAGCCAACTGGACCTTTCGTCTACATCTCTGCGTGCGTGGGTGTGTGCGTGCGCGCGCGCGCGTGTGTGTGTGTGTGTGTGTGTGTGTGTGTGGCCACTGTTTCACTCACTGAGCTTTCCTGGGGTTATAGAAAAAAAAAACAAATAAATAGAAACAAAACTCTAGTTCCTTCATATTAGGGCAGAAACAGAAAAATGGGTGCAATGATAGCTGGTCTACCCTTCCAATGGGAGAATGGCTGGTTAACTTTCGAGCAGCATGGTGTGCACCCTCCATGACTCTCAGAAGTAAAAGGCTATCAGTTCTTCCCTTAAACCTTTCATCCCTGAGACTGGGGGCATCTTACTATCTACAAAAATATATACGCTCAGTAGGCCACAGGGTACACAGAAGAACACGATGTGACATGGTGTTCAAGGACCCATGACATAAATAAAAATCTGAAAGAGCGCCATCAAACACTGGCCTGGCACACAACACTGCCTTCTTCCTCAGCTGACTCTTGAGCTTGGCTGCTCAAAGTTTTGTGAGGAAAAGGCAGTTTGCTAACGCTACTTCTGGAAAGCTTTGAAGGATAAAGAAAGTCAGATTAATACACAAACATCTTCCATGAAATCAAGAGAAAAAATGTTTATGGTATCCAACTGTTACACAAATTAAAACAGCACACTTATGTTGGTCACGTTGAAGTATTCTGTTTTATAACGTAATCCACAATGAGCAAATGTAATGTATTTATTTTCAGTTAGCAGTCCCAACTATTAGCACTAACAAAATTCCTAAAGCAAATTGGACCAAGAGGAGAAAAAAAAATCAATGTTCCTTTTGACTTTTCCTGATAGTTTAAAAAGTAGAGGAAATATGGGAAAATACAGATAAGCATAGTACATACTACACACAGTACATAAACTTGTTTCCTATTCCATAAATACAACTCATGTGTTTATAATTTATGTCTCATCTATTTTCTATAACTCTGTTTCTTTTACCTAATCTTGAGGTACTGGGAAGACTTAGAGAAAACAGAAGCCAGTTTTATTAAGAGGATAATAATTTTAAAATGTGCAAATCGCTTCCTGGATTTTTTTTAACTCTTCAGGTATAGCTGAAGTGATTCATTACCCTTGTAGTCTTTTTAGAACCTGACCCCTTTCTTGTGGCCCCTCCCATTCACCCTGAGGGAGCACCTGGGGGGGAACCCCAGTGCCTGGGTGATGGGGGAGCGCCTCCCCGCCCCAGGGCAGCAAAGGCCAGAGCTGCTTTCAGAGCTGGAGAGCGTCTGGAGTTCACCCATGAAGGCCTCAGGGCCAGGGCTGGCTCAGACCCAGGCACCTGTCTCCAGGCCCGGCCTGTATTCCAGCAGCTGCAGAGAAAGCTCCCTGGTCCTGTGTCTCCCCATAGCAACTGCCACTGTCACCATCCAGCACATCTGGGAGAATCTGCCTGTGTCAGGTCAACACCTTCTGCTTGCCCCACTGGCAGGACTTTGAATTCCACAGTAGTTCCCACAATAAAACAAGTATTCTGATGAATTTACCAAAGTAAAATGATAGAACCTAGAAATGGACAAAAAGGAATAGAAAACAAACTGGCAGCATGTGATTCATCAGGACCTTCAGAGGCTGCTGTTTTTTTAAGGATCTGATTGTAGATATCCTACTGTAACCATATAATGACTTTAAAAAGAAACTCTGGTAAGTCCCACAAAAATCCATTGTTGCTCATGAACACTTTATCATGGGCCTTAATTAAGAGACGAGATTTCCAAATGGACACATGTCTTACATCTAGTAAGGGTCAAGTATTTTTGAACAACCCTTTAGACTTCAATGTGCCCTTTGACTCATTCGCTCTGACAATAAAGCCATCTTCAGGAAACTCCTGATCGTCTCAGTAACCACCCCAGAATCGTGCATCTGTACGCAGAGCGTTCTGAGGCCACGTTAGATCAAAGCCCTCACATTCAGAAGCGGCTGCATCACCCACTTGAGTTGGTGGGTTTACCCGGAGCCCACCCAGCTCGGTCCTGGTTACCGGACCATCAAAGTGGACGGCAAAGCCAGCGGGCATCCAAAGGACAAACCTGTCCCAAGGACCGCATGGCGCACTGTCACGTGGCTTACAAATCTCCCGCAAGGTGCCACTCGTTTCATTTCATCTACGTATGATCTAAAAGTAAGCATCAGTAAAACAAGATTTCAACATACTCTCAAGTCTTGGCAACCAAGAACTCCCAAGAGGCCGTTCAAGGTCAGCCTCTCTTCACATGACCCGACATTGTCATTGTCCCATCTCATCCAGGCCTTCAAGAAAGCGTACAGTATTTTCTTCACAAGAAGAGTAAAACGCATAGTCACTTAGTAGAAGCTGCACGCATGGAAACCTGAATTGGTACCACCATTAGTCGGTGTTTCCCACTGGCCAAAAGTAACAGCGGTAACGGACAACCGTCGCCCATCCTTGAAAAGAAGGCAGAGGAGAGGGGAGTCAGTGGAGGCAGAAGGAAAGGAGAAAGACACGCCTGCTGAATTCTCTCTGAAGCTACGGCCTTCTCCCATCCATCGCACACAGGTACACCTTCCTCCTCCTTTCCTTAGTACTCCCTGGGGCCTTCCCCATCCAAATGAGCTCAAGCCACCTCCGTCCGGTCACCCCAGACCCGACCATCCTTCTTCTCTTTTCTTCCCTTGATCACGCCACTCCCCACGCCCTCCAGCCCCAGCTACAACTGGCCTGCCACAGGCAAGCTGACCCTGTCATTCCCCTTGGAGAGCAGCACCAGGCCCTACTGTGTGGTCTGCACACTCAGCCCTTCCTCACAGTTGGCCTCTCTCTGGCTTATGCTCAGAGGATGCTGGTCCATTTAGTCAACACCGTCCACTGGCTTCTGCTTTCCAATACTATTGTCTGCTAACAGGCCAGCCTCTCCCAGGCCAGCAGGACAAACTACAATTAAGCAATGAGGGAGTGAGCATGCTGTGTGCTGACAACTGTGTGTTTGTCCGACCATGTTTCAAAACTGCAGACATGCAGCAGGGCGGAAGAGAGCAACACTCCTACTTCCTGAGAGCACCTGGCACCTGAAGCTCCCTGAACTGCAGGGGACAGGGACAATCACACCAGACCTGAGGGGTGCACACCACCCAATGCCGAGAGCAGGAACAGAGCACACCAGCCATACTCACAAATACGGCCATGGGGAGCCTGTCCTGGGAGCTACCTGAGGGTCCCCAGGATGGGGTCAGTGAAAAGTCCTGAGGCGTCTGCTGCACAGAGATAACCATGCTTCTGGAACACACAAGCAGATGAAAGAGCAGCCTTTCACCAGCAAAGTCACCGCAGTGTCACAGAGCTGAGGACATGGCAGGAAGTGGGGCTGCATGGCACACAGCATCCTAGGCCCGACAGAGACCCAACGGGGCCACAGGGACGAGGTTGGTCAGGGCCGGCGGCGGACTGAAGTCAGGGTCACAGCACAGAAGGCTGAGCAATCCCATGCAAAGTGCAAAAGGTCCTTCTTTCCTAGCGAATAAGCCACACACTGTGAGAAGAGAGGACATGTGCATCCGGAACACACCAGGCCTTTGAAAAGCGTGTCCACTGACAACACTCGTGTTGCACATGGCGTCCCGAGCCCTGACCAGGGCAGCCGACGCATCACCTTTACCAGCTGTGGTCACACAAACAGTTCGGCAGCCACTCTCAGTATGGCCACCTTCAAGCGAGGGTAGTATCAGACGCTTCATTTTAAAGGCTTCCAGAACCACAGTTTCATCACGGTCATCGGAAACAGAAAACTTAAAATCTACTGAACTAAGCTTTTGGCATTGCCAGGATCTCTCTAGGTTTGAGTTCCAAGGGTAAGACCCACTCCCACACTTGCCCCTGAGCTGGTCAGCTTCACCCGGGTCAGCAGGCCTGCACTGACCTGCCACACAAGCAGGTGATGTGTCACTAAATATCCTTTGTTTAGAGGATGATCTAGTAGTCTACAGTTTCCACAGTTCAAAATATTATTTTAGACTGCATGTTCTGGGAAACTTTTCTCTATTTCCTACTGAAGGCACAGTGACTTTTACATTCCCTACATTAGTAGATAAAATCACCGATAACAGAAAGGCATGATTTCCCCAAAATATTACACTGCCCACGAGGAGAGCGAAATACTCCGACTTCAACTTTTGCCAACGCTCAAACAACAGTTTCTGTCTTCCCACTTCCCCTTCCACCCCCAGAGTCGATCAGCTGGAGGCCTCCGAGGGGGATCATCATTACAAGTCCCCTCTCAGCTTCAGGGATGTGCGCAGCGACACGCCAACAGCGCAGAGCGGCCCAGTGGACTGCCGGTGGGACCCTCCCAGGAACACTGGCTTCTGCAAAGAGCGAACCACATCTCGTGCATGCCAGAGCAGACCCTGCTACCGCTCTGCCTGGTACAGGCTAACCACAGCAGGACAGCAATCATTGGGGCTGTCTCCAGATCAACGTGCAGTTTAAAGGGCAAACCTGCTGTTTTATCGTTTTACTGAATAACCACCATTGCTGGTATGTCACTGAGGAAAAAAATCCCGTGGCGTGTCCTCCTTTCCTAAGAGCCCCAGTGAAGCCCACCTCCTCAACGTGGGGGCACTCAAGGTGGACTCAGTCACGATCTTTCTAAGGCTTTAGAAAATGCACAAGCGATTACGAGGTACCGAGGAAAACAAACAATGGATTTTACAGTACATACATTCTGGTGGAAGTCTGTTCTTTCTAAAAGCAAGTCTCTCAGTTTTCTTTCTGCTTTCTGCCAAGCTAAACAGGACTCCGTAAACATACTGACGAACTGGCCTATAGAGCAGGGCGGCGGGAGGCAGGTCTTTGCTGGCTTCATCTTCAATAGAAACAGCAATTTTGATTTCACCCTTTGCATGGAAGAAAGCAGAATAATATTGCACATTTTTCATGTTGAATTTACAATAAACTCACAGAAATATACTGTATTATCTCCAGTTAATGAAATTGCAATTCTATTCCAAATCAATTGCTTAACAAGTTGCCTACATCGAGATGTTTAGGGAGAGTTCATTTAGCAGGTTGTAGTCAAAACATACGCTCAAAGAGTCAAAATAAAATCTACATTGTTTTAGTTTTAATCTGGAATCAAGAACAAACGAAAACCATGTAGATGATCCCAAAGTCTTTGAAGCAATCTAGACAGATAACATCAGACAACAAAAAGAATAGAAAATGCTGAGAACGGGCAGATTTTATGCACAAGTCAGGATGGTCACACGTAATGAAACTCATCATTTTCAATGACCTATAATATGAAATTCACAAAATGAGCATCCTGAAAATAACATGGTCGAATTTATCTTTTTCCCTTCCATAAAAAATTACCATGCGCAAAAATGCTCTACCTAAGAGAACTCTCTTCAGTGTCACTCATTTTTAAAGTGTTCGGCATGTTTAAGGCCTCTGCCCTAGTGCGGCCAAGTACCTGACAGACGCGTCTCACTGAGTAAGAGGGCATGACAGCCCTTAGGGGCAGAAAATGAAGGAAGCCCTGCTCTGTTCACTCCCCCACCCCCTCTGCCAACATGGCAGGGGCTGTGCCATGGTGCAGGACCATGCTTCCAGGAGACAGATGACCTCAGCGACCACCTGCACTTGACACCATTGAAAATGCAGTGGTCCTGTCTCAGATATTTCATGGTGTCAAGGTACGTCAAGAGATTTTACAAGGAATTTTATTTACGTATGTTCATAACATATAAATAAATTTATGACCTCCAATGTCTATTAAATTTATTGATATATATATACTCCGAGTAATTTCTTTACATTTGCTTTTTCTTTCACGTAAACTTAATTTCAAAATTGGTCTTCTCCCTTAGCAGTACCTTCATACTCATTAATCTAGCAGCTGCATGTGGTTAACCAGCTCAACCCACAAATACTATCTCTCTCAATACTATGAGGATTTGACCTCTGCATTCTTACTATGAAGCTTCACTTTATTGCAAATGTCTCTGCCTGGACAATTTAATACTAGAGCTACTCAGCTCCCAGGAAAACAGCAAACATTTTAATCTAAACTTTTCCCCTAGTATATCAAAAAATTTTAGGTGGCACTTTAAAATCTGAAGACAGTCAAGTTTACTTTTCTCAACCACAGTCATTTAATCATCATTTGCCCTTGAAATCGGTGAGTACAGAAGAGGTGGACAGGCAGTTTGCATCACTCAGACTGATCCCCAGGTCAGACCCACCAGCATGGCAGGGCACAGCCAGCAGGGAGTCCAGGGACCTTATATTCCAAACAATCCCACAGAGCAAGGGCACAATCTTCCCAAACCTTGGTCCCTTTAAACTTAGCAAAATCCTTTTCCCGCAGGAGTAACTTTCACTTACCCTTATAATTTACGTTGGACCTGAAAAATAAAATGTTTACTTTATAACCATAATCTGAAAAGTGATACCATACATGCATACCCATATCAAATTACGGATGAGACTTGGACGTAATTACAATTTAAAAATAAATTGAAGGACTTGAATAAATTCTACTCGTCTTCACGTCCTTTATTTTATAAAATACAATATTCTTCGTGTCCTTTAATTTATAAAATGTAGAAGTAAGCAGTTCAAATTAGTCAGTTAACAGTTCAAGTGCAGCTCAGGAGTGCTGTGGCATGCGAGTGACTTGTACTTAATGACTCCATTTTACAAACCACAGACGGACTGCAGAAAGTAGGGAGAAAAAAGCCCGATCACACGTGGTGGGATGGACACTGATGGAAACATGCTAAAAATACATAGAGCAATGAATTAATTCTGCATGAGAAATCTGGTCACCAAGGTAGCTTACTAAATTTGGGGTCTATGATTATAAACATGAAGCCTGCAAACCACTGAGGAAATTTAAATACACACAGTTCTACTCAAGACACCAAGATTTAGAAACAGTTAATGGCACGCTGTGTGTCGATTTAAGCATACACTTGGTAAAATACTAGTAAAGTGAAATTTTATGTTGTGCTACAAAATCCTGTATTCCATTTTTGCTGTGTTATTCAGACTGTACTCAGTGAGACAGAGGAACAAGCGAAAGTACACGAAGCGCTATCAGCCACTCAGAAGTGGGGTATTTCTGGGACAGATGATACGAAATCAGATAGCGTAGGTGACATCAGTTAAACCTGACACTACGGCATAAACATGGTGCAGGAAAAATTGAAATGAGAGGTAAAAAGAATAAAATTACAAGTCAGAAAATTACACGAGGCATCAGTAATTAGATGTTTCAAAATATTTGACATTAAATTGAGGAGGAAAATAAGACTTTTCCCGAGTTCTTTCATTGTGTTCGTGGACAGAAATATCCATCTTTTTTTTCCTCACAGTTTAGAAAGGAGAAAATGCACTTCGTTTCAAATAGCTTGTCAGGTAAAAAACAGTTCCAAACGGAACAAGAGGGCACACTCCGCAGGAACGAGCACTGGGAGACGACGGCCACACCCCCAGCCCCTGCGCGTACCTTCGTCAGGACGTGGAAGATGTAGGGGTACATGAGCCCCTTCTTGTGCCGGTGCTCGGCCACTCTCAGCACCTCGGGCGCGACGGGGGGCAGGGGCGGGGTGGTGATGTCCATGTGGTTCCTGGTGGGCATGGACAGGAGGCATGGAATTGGCTGAACAGTGCCAATCTGGCTCCCCTTTCCTTCAGCAAGCTGGCTGCCAGAAGAGGCAGTGGACGAGCCTTCTGCCTACAGAGCAACGGGGGAGAGGGGAAGACGGGTTCATGGCACGTTTCCACTCCTTTAACCCGTCTATCCACGTGCAGCACAGCGCCCTGTCCAGAGAGCCGTGACTGCGACTTCACCACCGAGCACACGGCAGCTCCGACCCACTCCTCAGACGGGGGGATGCCCACTGTGCCTGTGTTGCGGGTGGGAGCCCGGAGGACCGCTGCGGCTTCTGCTGGGTGACCCCTACCCACGATTCCTCCCTTGGGCCCCCCAGGGGGTGAATGGCTTTCTGTAGTTGCGAATCCCTGGACAGCCTTCCCCGTCCCATCTGGCTCCCCATGTGGCCAATTTCTGTGTTTCGCTTTCTGGGGAGACTGTTCCTAAACTAAGTAAGCATCATCCTCTCTACAGATGAAGAAATCAATGCTCCAAGAGGATATGTCACTTGTCCACAGTAACGAGACCAGAAGCTCGTGGAACTGGGACTCAAACGTAGGTGCGAGTCAGGCCCGCTCTTCACCACCACCACCAGCTGGTATTTGAAGAAACAAAAACCCAACCTCAGGCATTCTCTTGGGTATTTTTGCTCGCCAAAAATCAAAACTAAAGAGTAAGTTAATCCCATTAAAAATGATGAGTCAGATCAATGTATACTGACATAGAAATACATGCATGGTGAATCACCAATCACCAAAACACAGGCTCTATGTACATGAACAGGAAACAGTGTGGACACCAAATGACGATGTCAGTGCTGGATGGCTGCAGAGCAGCAGGACCAAGGGAAGGGAAGGCAGGAGGAGACCCTTAGTTTTTTCGTTATAAATTTTATCAAATTTAGCCAAGTCTGAATTGTTTACCAAAGCCGCCATTATTTTCACAATAAATTTTTTTCTCACAAAAATACTGGAAATAACAATTGCCTATTACGTGATTCTCTGGCACCTTAAAAAATAGACATTTTTCTACTTTGGAACAAAATGTATTTTTACAATAGTATGTAATGAGTGCTTAATTTTATCCTTTAAGACACAAAATGCCAAAATCAGTCTTAAGAATAACTCGTGGATAATTCATGAGTGTTTTCTATACTTTCCATTCCACAGAATGCAGACATAACTGAAAATAATTTGGAAGGTGTTTTGCAAACAGTAGGTATCCAGAAAGCGCTTCTGTTATTTATTTGCAGGATAGTCATTCAACAGTCGAATATTTCAGAGATTTACACAGATCTCTGATATTCTATATATTCTATGGATTCCATTCTGTGGATGGAAGACAAGCCCTCTTCCTGCCAGAGACCAGCTCATCCTCAGTGATCTCATGTGGGGACAGATGTCCTTTCGTAAGTTAAAAAGGTATTTCCAGAGATCGATATTGATAGGTAGAAATAGGGAAAAAAAGGGGAAGTAAAATTAGTTTACTTTTGTTTTTATTGCATACATCTCAGGTGCTTTCTCAATCATCACAAAAACCCTACAAAAAAGAAGGGCTCTGGAAGGCTCTAAGTTCTTGACAAGACTATGCAGTTAGCAGGCAGTGGAGGGTCACCACAGCCACCACCCTGCCCTGTGCAAGAAAGCTGGCTGACGGCAGCATAGCCCTGGGGCTCCTCCTCCCCTCTCACCCCTGCCAGCGCCTGTGGGCCCCCTACCCTCTCACCCCTGCCAGTGCCTGTGAGCCCCCTCTCCTCTCACCCCTGCCAGCGCCTGTGAGCCCCCTCCCCTCTCATCCCTGCCAGTGTCTGTGAGCCCCCTCCCCTCTCACCCCTGCCAGCACTGTGAGCCTCCTCCCCTCTCACCCCAGCCAGTGTCTGTGAATCCCCTCCCCTCTCATCCTGGCCAGCGCCTGTGAGTCCCCTCCCCTCTCACCCCTGCCAGTATCTGTGAGCCCCCTCCCCTCTCACCCCGGCCAGTGTCTGTGAGCCCCCTCCCCTCTCACCCCTGCCAGCGCCTGTGAGCCCCCTCTCCTCTCACCCCGGCCAGTGTCTGTGAGCCCCCCTCCCCTCTCACCCCAACCAGTGTCTGTGAACCCCCTCCCCTCTCATCCCGGCCAGCGCCTGTGAGCCCCC